CATATATATATATATGTATCAATGAGAATAGCAATTTTCCAAAGTATACATATATAACTAATTTAAACAGATACTACAAGCATGTGGTTAAACATTTCTTTGAATTACAAGAGGGTATAAAGTGAAAACTCCCTCCTCTTCTTATCCACCAGTCACTCTCCCCACAATGGTTATCAGAACTACCCATTTCTTGTTTTCTCTCCAAAGATCAAAGAAAACCTTCGTAGCACATTTTAAAGAGCGTGTGATTAGCAAAACTCTAGTTAAAGAAAACATTTTAGGACATATCTAAGGCTTAACGGAAGGTACAAGCTAGTCCCACAACTGGCACGTGATGTTTGACAAAGATGTTCTTTGATAAACTGTCATGTTTTCTTGGCATTTCGTTCCCTGTATACTCTTATCTTTGGAAAAGGCAGTCCAAAGATTATGGACTGAAATAAGATCCAATAAAGTAACCTCAGAATGTGTTTTGAAAAAGTAGAGCACCAGACAAAGGCGGAATATTTGTGGTTATTGTAGTGCAGCTGATTTTAAGGTTGAAAAGGGAAAACATAAATGTGGATTCATGGGCTGTGCTTTCAAGAAGGGCAGAGTAGGGAGGGTAAGAGAAGAAGGTGAGGAGGAGGTGCAGTGTGTCTGGTTATAGAAATATGGCCCGGATTTAGAGATCCCGCAGGGCTAGTTGTGGAGTTTGGATTGTATTTCCAAGTGTAATAAGACGCCAGTGGAGAATATTAAGGAAGGGAAAAGTGTGATCTAATTGGCATTCAAATGAGTAAATTACGTAAAACACCTAGAGGGTGACTGGCATATAACAGCCACTCAGATTAGTTCCCTTACCTCTTCACACCTTAACAAGAACCATATATAAGCTCTTGGCTGGCATCAGAAAATTACCCAGTTTCCAGATCCTCTGAGCCAGTGTTATGCAGCTGCTTTCCTGCCCTTTCAGTTTTAATGACCTATCACCTCTTATTCAGCTTGTTACTATTCCCTTGCCTGGCTTATATTTACTAATTGCCTATCACAGATCAGGTATCTGCTAAGTGCTTAGGAAGAATTCGCCAGGACTCAGAATATGAGGTTAAATAAGTTATGGGCCCAAATAACACAACGCATAAAGTAGTAAGCCCGACAAGAGTTTAGAGAAAGAGTAATGAAGTTCAGAGAAAGACAGTACCAACGGGGTGACTGGGAGATGCAACGAAGATGGTAGCATTTGGACAGTGAACGGAAAGACAAGAAGGTTGTGGAATCTCAGAGGCTTGGAAAAGAACAAGTTCAAGTATGACTAAGGCCACTGGGACAGGAGCCTGTACTAAAATTGGCAAGTAGTTCAGTTTGATTGGAACACAGCATACGGAGCAAAGTGTTAGGAAATAAAACTAGAAATGCAGGCTGGGGCCAGACAGTGGAGGGTCCTCGACACCAGGATAGGAATTTGGGGCTTTATTCAAAGAGTTAATGAAGGATACGTAAAAGGTTTTTGAGGTGGGATACAACATGATCAGAGCTGTCACTAGAAACTACAAGCTAAAATGGAGGCAGGAAACCAGACTATCTCAATAGTCTGGTGAAGAGCTAATAAAGGTTTTATGGACTCAGCTCTATTCTCATGCCAACCCTGTAAGATTGTTATCTTATGTGTTAGTTTGAGAGGTTAAGTGAATTTATCTTAGGTTTAATATGTTAAAGAGCCATGGTTTGAACCCAAGGCCTTTCCCCAGAGTGGTAGAATTATCAGAGTTATTAAGTGACTAGATGAAAAGATAAAGGGAAGCAAAAAAGACTGAGATTTCAAGCCTGGGTGATAAGATATATCTTATCAGAAATAAGGAAGATCACTTGAAGGACCACAACAAGGTTGATTTTAGATATGTTGTACTGAAAAATACTTGTAGGATGTCCAAATAATCATATTTTTAGCTTGTCTATCTGGCCTCTAATGCTCTTTCTCTCTATTCGAAACCTTTGGTACTCAAGCCTGCCCTCAGCTTTTGTTTGCCTGCTCAAGTTCTGACGGCCTGATACCTAGTCTCGTGTGCATTCTGCTCTCTTCTGCTCAGTCTCTGAACATGTCACATCATTCCTGACAACAGTTCTGACTACTGGTTTGGTGTGTTCCCCTCACTCCAAACTGGGTTCTATACTTAGCTGTGCACTAGCTGCTCTAGTAACTATTATCTGCCCCTGTATTTCTAGTCCTATGGCCCTTTCTCTGTACTCATAAGCCACAGAACACAGTCCTGGGGCCAAGTCCGCTTCCAGGTGTCCATGTTCTTTGTGAGGTAGTCCAGAGAAAGCAGACATATATAGAACTAAGATGCGATGGTAAGGTCATTCGTTATATGTCACAAATGATTCACCATTATGCTCTTTTAATCACAGAGTGAATATTTCATAATAGAAGGTGTGCGCTGACACATATTTACTGTATTATTATGTAAAACCTAAACTGTTGGAAGAGAATTTGGCACACCATGATGTGAATGGAGTAGTGACAGGGTGATCTGTGAGGACGTAGGTCTGTGCAAAAGGGAGGGGCAGGGGTGGGACTGGCCATGGCAACAACTAAACACAGTCAGACGGAAAAGGTCAAATACAGGTCAAAGTCCCAAGAACATTGGATAAGAAGTAATTCCCGAAAGAGAAAAAATGGAAATCACCCAATCATCCATTCTGACCAAGAATGAAATGTCATCACAAATGAGAACCAAGAGATGCTAAACCTTGCCAGGAACAGATTATGTAATCACCACAGCTAATCTAAATGAAGAGAAAATGAGGGCATATTTATTTTCTCATTCAGTTAATGCTCACTTGCATTTGGACTTTGTCCATTTTGATAGGTTGTATACAAACTGTTCCCAATTCTATTTACAAAGTGTTCCTGCGGTGTCACATATTTTCCCCTTGTTCTTGATAATGATTACTTCCGTATGTAAATAAATTCAACTTCTGTCCAATTACTTAAATGGTCTTCAGGCCCTTGTATTTTCTCTAGGGATCCAAAGTGCTCTTGACCTTTAAGTCACATATCAGATCCTAACTTGCAGCTTAAATCTAAACAACTGAAAATGTAAAAAGTAATTATCAGCTCTTTTTAAAAGCCTCAATAAAAGAAACAGTCAAACCCACTGAGACAGTAATAACACGAGAATCAAAAATTGGCACAGAAAGTTGTGTCCAAAATGATCATTGCAGATTTACTTAATCAAAACATGAAACAAAAATAGGAGAATGGCTAAATAATATTACAACCAAATAACAGAATCCTAAGCAAGCTTTGAAAATCATATTCAGAAAACATTCACAGTATAAAGTGAAAACTATAGTCTAAAAATGCTATATGATTCTAATTTTATTATGCATATTTGTAATATGCTCACATGTATAAATAACATACTAAAAGCACTAAAAATACAATGTTATAAAGCAAGTGGTATGTTTTCAGAAAACTTATAACTTTATCATTATACCTTTTTGTATTTTCCAGAGTGTCTAATGTGAGTATAATTGCTTTTAGAGTCAGGAAAAATTATTTA